TATGGACTCATTACTTCTCATAACAATAAGAGATAGGGACCATTATTATTCCCATTTTAGAGTTGATGATAATATGATACAGGGAGATTAAATAATTTGACCAAGGGTATACACCTAATAAATGGCAGGGCTAGGATTCAAATCCAGGCAGTCAGATACTAGAATATGAGAATCAGAATTAAAATACCCGTACATAAAATTTTAAAAAGAGACAAAATGAAAATGAGAAAGAGACTACTGAAAAAGAAAGAAGGCAATTTTTAGAAAAAGAACTAACTAGAACTTTTTTTTTAAGTAGGCTTCATGCCCAACCTGGGGCCTGAACTCATGACCCTGAGATCAAGAGTCACATGCTCTACTGACTGAGCCAGCCAGGCTCCCCAACTAGAACTCTGTAAAATAAAAACACCTGTGGATGGGTTAAGCAGAAGATTATAGATAATTTTTTAAAAGATATATTTCTTTTTAGAGAGAAAGAGAGAGAGCACGAGTGGGACAGGCAGAGGAAGAGGGAGCATCTCAAGCAGACGCCCTGCTGAGCACAGAGCCCGATGTTGGGCTCGATCCCACGACCCTGAGATCACGACCTGGGCTGAACACTTAACCGACTATGCCACCCAGGTGCCCCTAGATAATCTGAAGAGAAAATTAGTGAGTCGGACCTGAGGCTATTACACAGTGTACAACACAGAGACAACAAGATGGAGATATCAAAGAAAGTAGTAACCTCCCAAAGTGAAAGTCTAGTATATGTCTACTTGGAGTCCAAAATGGAAAGGTGGAAAAGAATGGAGGAGAGGAAGTAGTTGGAGAGATAAAAGCTGAGAATTTACAGAAAAATGCACATAAACACATTTGTGCAAATGTTTCCATGGATACTCTCTGGATGTCCATGGAGCCTATCTAGGTTAAGGACCCCTGTGTAACAGGCACTGCTAATTGCCTATTCACATTCTTTCTCCTCTTCTCCTATTAATGACCCTAAGTTTATTTGGGGTAGCAGCTACCTTGTTCCTTGGGATGGCCAAGTGACTCAGTTCTGGACAATGAGATAAAAAGCTTAGGGAAAAGAAATAAACTTAGTTGACCTGTGTCTTTTACCTTTTGCCCTTCACCATCCTGCTTGGAACGTGAAGGCAATGCTTGGAGCCTTGGCAGCTATTTTGTGACCATGTGGAGGGAAGCTTATGCTAAGGATGGTCAAATAGAAGACAGGAAGCCCAAATGCTCTTTGTGGATCAACTACTTCCAGATTTGGTGTATAAGGACAATAACTCCATCCTTAAAGCCACCACGATTAGGTTTCTACTAAACACAATCCCCCCTGCCTTCCATCTACCCCCACAGCACCAGACAGTTCCCAGGCCAAGGAGAGGTAGAAAGTTACAGATCAGTAAATATTTGTGTTCACTTTAGGATTCAGCCTTTTAAGAAACAGTCACTGTTTCTTGTTCCATGACACCATTTTCAGCCCAGAGAAAAGGCAAGAATAGTGAGAAAACCATTTTAAACAGGAGCTTTTTCTCTACCACCATAAACCTTTTTTTTAGAATGATATTCTTTTAGGAAAATGTTCCCTTGCCATCCTGGACTCCTTCTATTCCTCTAACAGCGCCCAAACCACAAAGTGCCGACTAAGATAGGATGCTGGGATATGGTAAAGGCCTGAGCTTCCTTCTCCCTAATGTCTGATCTGTTTTATTTTTTCCTTCTTCCTCCCACCTCGTGTTTTCATTCTCCTTTTCCCCCTTGCCTTTCCCTCTTCCGTCCCTGAACCCCACCATCTGGATGCTGCTCAGTCCAGGTGAAGGCATGGCTGGCCTCTGGCTCTGAGGCTTCTGGTGAGATTAGGGCAAGGAAACATCTCAAAGCCTCTCACTGCTGCATCTTGGAACTTACCCAGTGGTGGCCACCTGACCGGCTCAAGGAGACGAGTCAGAACTTACCCCGGGCACAGAGCCATGCAAATGCCTTTTTCAAAATGAGTAATTCACCTACCATACTGAATAAGAGCCTCCAGATGTCATAGTATCACAGTGCAAACAATGAGGTCTTCATTTTCAAATATGGCATTGAAATGATGGTACCAGTCTTTTTCTTTCCCTATCCCTCTCTTTTTTCTTTTGTCTTCTTTTCTTTTGTTTCTTTCTTTCCTTCTTGCTTTTCTTTCTCTCTTTCTATTCCTTCCTTCCTTCCTGCAACAGTAGCAATCATTTTATTCTCACTTGTTCCAAGAATTGCCCATGAAGGTATTACGTGAGGTCTCCCTCTTTTAGGAAATCTGACTTTGCATAAATCAAGGCTTCTAGCCATGCCAATGTATACCATGAAAGACTCTTGATTTTGCAAATATGGCAAAGGAATTTGCTTGGGAAGCAGATGTATCTGTTCTTCCCTTTCCCATTTATATGAAGGAAGGACAGTGAAAAGAAGAGAACATAGTCCAGTGTTAAGATGAGCAGGCCCCATAGATGAGCAGAGAGTTAGGACTTTCAGCTACTAATGGAACATGGAAGGAGCACTCTGAAGATCCAGCTGTACTAGTAAATTAAACACTTCTGGAAATTGCCAGTGTCTGGATTAGAAACAGTCATAAAGGTGCTGTGCCATTCTGAACTCAGTGATTTCTAAGCTAAGGCCTACTTTTAAATTCCTTTGAAGAAAGGAAAACAATGATTATTTTAAAAACAAAAGTTGTCTTTAAAATTTGTTAAGTAGAGGGGCACCTCGTTGGCTCACTCCGTTAAGCATCCAACCCCTGATCTCAGCTCAGGTCTTGATCTCAGGGTCGTGACTTTAAGCCCTGAGTTGGGCTCCACGCTGTGTGTAGAGCCTACTTAAAATGTGGAAAGTAGCACAGTCAGTGGGGTCCTTAAATCTAGTAACCCTTCCTTCTCCCTGGATTTACCCCTACCACAAAGCAAAGAAGCATAGAAACACCTGCCAAGGGGTGCCTGGGTGGCTCAGTCAGTTAAGCGTCTGCCTTCGGCTTGGGTTGTGATCTTGGGGTCCTGGGATCTAGCTCCACGTGGGGCTCCCTGCTCAGCGGGGAGTCTGCTTTTCCCTCTCCTTCTACCTGCCCCTCTGCCTGCTTGTGCTCTCTCTCTCTGTCAAATAAATAAATAAATAAAATCTTAAAAAAAAAAGAAACACCTTCCAAAGACAGGTCAGTTATTCTGAAAATCAATTAAATTATTTATACCCTTTGAAATGCTTATTTCAAAGGGAAACCTAGAGAAAGTCAATTATAAGCCATGGTACTGAACAGCTTATTGGTTAAATCAGGCTCTTTGTCTTTCTGTTTTGCTAATGGTGTGGACTTTTGACTTTCCTAATCATTAACTTTGGCTATCGAGGGAGATTCCACTGGACTTGGTTTGTTCATACTTTTTTGAGTGACATTTCCCCCAGCTAAATGCCTAAAAGCATAATGAGGTGAATGAATCACAAGTGATAATAATTTTAAAAATCTAGTCACGAACACAACTGGACTCATTACCATGAAGAAGTAGCATTCGGATGAGGAAAGGAAATCACCCAGGAACAGGGGAGAATTCATTATGACTACCATGTACATGTACTGTTTACTACATGCCAGGCACTATTGTAAGCACTTACATGTATTCACTCATTTAGTTCTACTAAAAATATTTTACAGAGAGGTTAAGTAATTTGCTTAAAGTGACACAGCTAGGAGTGAGCAAGTTGGTATGTCACCGAGGCAGCCTGGTTTGAGGCTGGACTTGAGCCTGGACTGCTTCCTCCCTTTCAAGGAAAGGAAGTGGGAAAGTCATGGAAAGACATTAAATGTACATAAAGAAAAGGACATTAATATTTCTAAATACACACTAATCAGTGTATCAAATAAACCAGAGACTAAGTTCAAAACAATGGACATTTCTTCCCTTACGGTTTTGGAGGCCAGAGTCCAAGATCAAGGTGTCAGCAGGACCATACTCCTCCTGGTGGCGCTAAGGGAGGACACTTCCTTGCCTCTCTCCCAGCTTGTGGCGGCTCCCGGTGTGCCTTCGCCTGTGGCAGCCCAACTCCAATCTCTGTCTCCATCTCTGCAGGGCCCGTGTCTCTCCCCTGTGTGTGTCTCTTATAAGGGCACCTGTCATTGGTTTCGGGCCCACCTGGATAATCCAGGATGATCTCACCTCAAGATCTTTAACTTAACATCTGCAAAGACCCCTTTATCCAAATAAAGCCACATTCACAGGTTCTAGAGGTTAAGATGTGAACATATAGTTTTGGTGACCCACCGTTTAACCCACTACAGTCAATGAGGACTTCACGATGTTGTAAGGAAGAGAAAACTCATCTCAACCTGGCTGAAATAACAAAGCGGATCTCTTGGCTCATTTGGCTGAATGGTCCAGGGGAGGTCGAGCTTCAGGTAAGGCGTGCGGGACTGGCTCCATTCTCACGCAGGCTCTTCCCTTACCGTCTGAAAGGGCTGTCAGTGGCTTCTGGGGTCACATACTTCCTGTTTAAGTCCACACGGATGAGAGAAGCTTCTCCCTCCCAGAAACCCCAGCCCATGTTCCCGTGCCTCCCATCAGCTCTGCCTAAGTGCTATGCCCATCAGCAGACCTATCCCTGGGACTAGGGTTGGGGGGCGGGTATGTCGGCTGTCCTGACAATCAAGGAGCCACGTCTGGAGGTACAGATGGGGTCCCCCACTCAGGATGTGTGGCTGCCAGCAGGAGAGTCCCCAACTTAAAATCAAGGTACTGTTAGGAGGTGAGCAACAAAGGTCCACTCTGGGCCCTTGGTCGACTTTCTCAGGTGGGTGTGGTTTCTTTCATTTTACGAAAGTTGAAATGGAAGTTCAGAAATAAGGGCTAACGTGGTCAAAGTCACGCACTAAGAAGAGGGCCAGAACCAGGACTGAAAATGAAAATTAAAAAAATGTCAAGGGCAATCACAAAAACCACACAGACGTCCACACAGAGAGAAAACGAGAACCACAACACAAAAGTTAAGTCCTACCTCACCTTTTACGTAGCTTGACGGCCACTGACCGTTTCATTGCCCAAACTGTGCGAGTGTCCCGACGTTGGGCCCACGGCGTCGAAGAGCCATACGCTCAGAGAGCGCCAGGATCTTGTCTCCGGCCTCTCTGGTCCCGGCGGCGGCGGCGGCGGCGGCGGCGGCGGCAACGAGAGGACGAAGGAGGCGTCGTCGTGTGGAGAGCGTGGCAGTAAGACCCACAGGGTGTGCCGCCGCGGTGGCTCTGCCACCTTCGGGAGTCGGCCTGTGGCAGATGTGGCGACCCTGCCAAGCGGAAAAGAAAGTACGGCGGGAGCGCCGAGGCTAACGGACGAAGCACCACCGGCGCCAGTCAAAATGGGGGCCGTAAGGGCGCTGTGCCGCGCATGCCCGCGTGGCTTCTGTGAGAGAAGAGCCCCAGCTCTGCCCCGCAGCTCGCCGCAGCCAGTTCGTCTGAAGGATTTCGGGGATTAGTCGCACAATAAATGTCCTGGGTTAAAAAAAAAAAAAAATTGATATGCAGTATATTCATTTCTGCCTTCCCCATTGTATCAGTGAGAAAATTCCCTTCAGGACTCCCCGAGCCCGGCTCCCGCGTCGTTTGTCCTCTCACAGAGGCAGGCCAACCATTCTGGTAGCACTGGGCAAGAGAAGCGACTGCAGGATCCAGTCCTGGGGAGGGGGGGTTTGCCAGCGCCGCGGAGTTGTGTTTTATAAGACCTATTACTACAGAAGGAGCTTGAAAGGTTTCCAGTTTGGGGGTGCCTGGGTGGCTCAGTCATTAAGCGTCTGCCTTCGGCTCCGGTCGTGATCTCAGGGTCCCCGGATGGAGCCCCGCATTGGGCTCCCTGCTCAGCGGGGAGTCTGCTTCTCCTTCTCCCTCTGCTGCTCCCCCTGCTTGTGCTCGCTCTCTCAAATAAATAAATAAAATTTAAAAAAAGAAAGAAAAAAGGTTTTCCAGTTCATCCCTTTACCTAATATAGGGATCCCCTTTACTTTAGGTCATGACACTATGAATGTACATAGGATCACTGAACTGTACACTTAAGAATGGTGAAAATGGCAAGTTGTTATGCGAATTTTACCACAATAAAAAAACCCAGAAAATATTTTTGTGTGTAAGTTTTCTTTCTGGGCCAAGCCTGGACTTGATCATTGCCTGTTGCCTGTCACACAGCAAAATGGATGTCATAGGATCTGTTAAGAGTGTTTGAACCAAAACGAGTGTCTGTCTTATTCTATTATCCTGGATTGCAGAAGACACAATTACCTAAAAAGCGAAAAATGGAGAGATGGGTGTAGCAGTGGAGATCCCACGTTGGCAGGTCCCTTTTCCAATGTCAAGTTACCCAGAGGGCTGAGTGAGCTCACAATCACATGCTTTTGGGGGGCTATAGCTCCCTGCTCCAGGCACTTAGCTTCGTGAGCTCCATTCGTCTGTATATTGCTCTGTCTCCCCACCAGAATGGAAAGGAGAGGGCAGAGCCTACCTTCAACTCCTTGGGCTTGGTCCCCAGTAAGCAATCAGTATGTGTTTGCTGAATAAATGCATGAATGAATATCCCTGCCCCAAGGCAGAATGTACTGTTATAGCGACCACAGATTGGCATCTCCCCTCCCTTGGCTTTTTGCGGTCCTTTTCCTACAGTGCAAGTAGAAAAGTTCCTTCTAGGCACACAGTCCTTCCTCAGCTCACCAGTGTCATTTATTAGACCCTAGCTTGCTTTTTTTAACATTGTTTAGTCTGACCGAGACGACACTCCTAAAGCTGTGATTAATTCCAGCAAAGTTCTGCTTTGGTTTAGAAGACACACCTTCCCTGAAGGAGCGGGTCTAATCTCATCCTATTAGGTAATGCATTCACTAGTTTAAATCCTCCCTGGGAAACTGGATCCTTCAGATCCCAGGTGCCCCCACCCCAGGAGGAAATGAATGCCCCTAAAAGGAGCTAGCAGGGGGGAAAGTGTGTGTGAGGCAAAGGATGGTTTCTCTGCCACCTTTCTCCCATCATCCCTAACTCAAACCCTGGCCAGCACAGGTGTCATGTTGCCATCTCTGTCCCCCTCAAGAAGAAGGTGTGACAAACTTATTCGTACTTCAGTGATAGATGGTGTGTTACAGCCTCTTAAAGAGAGGCATGGTCATTTTGCAAAACCGAACAAATTAATAAGTTTAGGCAATTACCATCAGTGGTTGCTAACATCACAAAGAAAGAGATAATCAAGCCGGATAGGAGACTAGCACCATCTAATCTTGACAAAAGAATCAAACCCGAATGTGATCAGGCCTCTATAGCCAAGTAACATTTTACAGCAAATAAAGGGGATAGAAGAATACATTCAAGTGCCACCACGGGGTGCAATCAGCACAATTTGTACCCTGGGAAATGCTATGGGACTGATGAGCCTGTTTCTTAAATAACAGAGAGAGAGTCAGACACGTCAACCTATCAGTGTATGGGTCTTATTGAGTCTGATTCAAATGGTTTTTTTTTTTTTAATTTAGGAGCTAACACTGATGGGAAATTGAACACTGACTAGATATTTGATAATATTAAAGCATGACTGTCCATTGAGAGGGGTGAAAATAGTATTGTGGTTATTTTTCTAAAAAGAATCCTTGGGGCGCCTGGGTGGCTCGGTCATTAAGCATCTGCCTTCGGCTCAGGTCGTGAACCCAGGTTCCTGGGATCGAGCCCCGCATGGGGCTCCCTGCTCCGCGGGAAGCCTGCTTCTCCCTCTCCCCCTCCCCTCCCCTCTCCCTCTCCCCCTCCCCTCCCCTCTCCCTCTCCCCCTCCCCTCCCCTCTCCCCCTCCCCCTCCACCCCTCCTCCACACTCCCCCTGCTCGTGTTCCCTCTCTCGCTGTGTCTTTCTCTGTCAAATAAATAAAATCTTAAAAAAAAAAGAATCCTTATCTTTTAGATACGCTGAAATATTTGCAGATGAAATGATGTGAAGATCTGAGATTTGCTTGAAAGTAACCTGGGGCAGGGGGTGCCAGGGCGGGGGTGAGGGATGCCTACATCCAGTTAGTTATTCATTAAGTCCTGTGCATTTTATCCTTCTAAATATTCCTCAAATTCATCTTTCCATTTCTCCTTGAGGCCCCTTCTAACTGGGTTGCCTGCTTCTAATCTCAAACCCCTTGATCCCTCCTCCCTTAGCAACTAGATCCATCTATCTAAAAATGACCATTCCACTCTCCTTCTTAAAACCTTCCACGGGGGTACCTGGGTGGCTCAGTCGGTTGAGCGTGGACTCTTGGTTTTGGCTAAGGTCATGATCTCATGGGTCGTGAGATGGAGCCCCCCACCTTTGCACTCTTTGGGGCTCTTTGCGCTCAGTGGGAAATATGCTTTCGCAGTCTCTCCCTCTGCCCCGCCCCCCACTCGTGAGCGTGCGCACACTCTCTCCCTCTCTAAAATAAATAAATAAATAAATAAATAAATAAATAAATAAATAAATAAATAAAATAAAAAACACCTTTGGGAGGCCTGGGTGGCTTAGTTGGTTAAGCGTCTGTCTTTGGCTCAGGTTCTGATCCCCTGGTTCTCCCTCCCTCCTTGTTCAGCAGGAAGCCTGCTTCTCCCTCTGCCTGTCACACCCCCTGCTTGTGCACGCTAGCTCTCTCTCTCTCTCTCTTCTCTGACAAATAAACAAGTAAAATCTTTTTTAAAAATTTTAAAAATAATAAAAATTTTAAAATAATAACAAATAAATACATAAACAAACAAACAAAAAAACCTTCAGTGGCTCCCCACGGCCTGCTCTTATCCTCCATTCAGTCTCATCTGCTGTTCCCTGTCCTTCCTGTTACATGGGCAACCCAGAACTGCTTGTAGCTTTTCTCTACACCGTACCTCCTGCCAGCACCACCCCCTTTCACCTTGCCTGGCTAACGCCTTCTCCGGCCTCTCTTCCAGGCTCAGTGTAGGTGTTACTTTCTTCAGGGAACATTCTTTGTCTCCTTCCCTCACCTTCACCTTCCACCCCAGGCTGGCTTGGCAGCTCATCCCGTGTATATCTCCACACTTGAACTCACGACATGGTACTATAATTCTTTGTTATACACTGCGAGCTCCTTGACGTGAAGGACCATGTCTTACTCATCTATTCATCTCTTTGTTCCCAATAACTAGCATGGGGCCAGGTGCACAGTAGGTGCTCAATAAACATCTGGGACAGGATGATACTTAACACAGATGCTTCCGGTTCCGGTGGGTGACTTTCAGACAGTAACAAGAATAACTGATAGGAGATGTCTTCCTGGTATCCTTTAAAATCCACAGGCTGTCACCAGCCATGCCTAAATGTATAACCTGCCTGGCAGGCAAGTGTTAAACAGCAGAGGGGTCACTGGGATCCAGAACCTCAAGACTTTCCCCAGTTTTAGTAATTGGAGTAGGAAGGTGGTTCTCTTAGAATTAGTTGGGGAAACAAACTCACCCTCTATGGGAGTTTTAGTATTTCCTTAAGCAGGTATCACCAGGTAACAAATGGAGTTTACAATCGATTTCCTTTTATGAACCTACTTCTTTTTTTTTTTTTTTTAAGATTTTTATTTGACAGAGAGAGACACAGCGAGAGAGGGAACACAAGCAGGGGGAGTGGAAGAGGGAGAAGCAGGCCTCCCGCGGAGCAGGGAGCCCAATGCGGGGCTCGATCCCAGGACCCTGGGATCATGACCCGAGCTGAAGGCAGACTCTTAGCAACTGAGCCACCCAGGCGCCCCTATGAACCTGCATCTTAACCTATATCTCAGCTCCTACAATTCCCCCACACATTCTATTTATTCTTCGTATTTGAACCAGAGTGACTCTTACATGTAAGTCAGATCCTGAAAGGATATTAATTACTTACACCATCATAAAATTAAGGCACAGTGTAAAGACATTATATATTTTATCATCTCACTGATGTTCTTTTGATATATAAAAAGTGGTGTAAGTCAGAAGACCAGGTACCAGCCTCACCCATTATAATTACTTTCCTGCTGGGTACCTTCGATAGGAAACTTGACCTCTCTGAGCCTTAGTTTTCTCGATAAAATGAAGCTGCAATTTTAAAAATTTTAATTAACTAATTAATTTAGAGAGGGAGAGAGAGAAAGGGAGGGTAGAGGAAGGGGCAGAGGGAGAAGGAGAGAGAATCTTAAGCAGACTCCATGCCCAGCGTGGAGCCCTGCATGGGGCTCCCTCTCATGACCCTGAGATCATGACCTGAGCCGAAATCCAGAGTTGGACGCTTAATCCACTGAGCCACCCAGGCACCCCTGTAATTTTTTTAAAAAGCAAACTCTAGGCCCAACGTGGGGCTTGAACTCACGACCCCAAGATCAAGAGTCACATACTCCACT